AGGGCAGTGGTCGAATGCGCCCCCAGATCCCCTTTTTTCTTAGAAAATTAGGCAACTGGTGCAGGCAGATCACTTGTAAGTGCTCATAGAAGTAACTGCGAAATGTCGACTCAATATGTTAAGCTTAAAAGTATTTGTATGAAAAACATGATGTCTTAATAAAGAGCAATTGGCAAGACTGCCAAAGTTAAGAAAAAAAAGAAAAATAAAGTACTGTCTAAAATGAGAAAACAAACAAACAGATATACTAGCAAGACTGTTATGCAAATTGGTAAAGAATATAAGATTAGAAGCAAAATAGAAAGCAATCAGAAAGTTAGAGTCAAAAATAAAGATTATGATTCATAACTGGATACAATTTTAAAAAAGCCTAAAGTTGACTAAAGAAATATATTGTATAACAAGAAAAAGTAATACAAGAAAATGTATATTTATAAAGTATATAATAGATAAGCTTCTAACTTTAAAAGAACTTAATAAAAAAAGACCAGATATATACACAACAACAGAATGTTAAATATGTCAAAATAAAGTTTAAAAAACACAACCACACTTGGCATCTTGCAAGAAACAAACAAATTTCTAAAAATGAATTTAAAAAGTAATTATTACAACAGCTTAGAAAGAGCTAAAAAAAGAAAAAAGAACTCATATTCTCTCATATATACTATACATAGCACTTTTTAAAAAAATAAAAGCAGAAGAAGTAGAAATAAAAAAAACATTAATCAAAGACCTAATTCTAAAAAAGATACAAGACAGATTAGCACAACTTTTAAGCACAAAGGCAAGATAGCAGTTTGCAAATACAGTAGCAAAAACAGCATAAGATACTTTTTATAAACAAGTCTGAAGAATATAATGTAAAAAAGTTAACAAATGAAGAAAAAAAGAAGGCATAACAAGCAAAATAAAAAGAAAAGAAGTAAAAAAAAAAAACTCAAAGAAAAAAGAAAAGGCAAATTAGCAAAAAATTAAAAAAAAAAACAGTAAACAAAAGAAAAAAAAAGAAAATCAAAAAAGAAACTAGAAAAATAATGTTGGAGCTTGTTATAAAAAAAAGAAAATCTTTTTATTATGGACTTTAAGTAGTTAAACAAGAAGTCTACTTTTGTTTAAAGTAGTGCAGCAGGTTATACTTAGGTATCTTTAAAGCAGCTGAGTGATGCTAGACTTAGCTATTAAATAAATATATATAATTGCAAAAGTAATTTTAAGAAATTTAATAAAATACTAGCATGACTGCTTAAGTTAAAAATAAAAAATTAAAAATTAAATATGAATAAAATAATTTAATTTTAATTACAAAATTATAAAATATTATTGTAAATAAGATAATTAATTTTTTTATTAATAACTTTTAATAAGATAATTTTATTTATTTTTAAATTTTTATTAAGATAATAATTATTATTATTTTTTTAATATTAAGGTAACCTTTTTGGTCTTTTCATTTTTACTAATCACTTATTAGTATTATGATTCAATGAACTATTATAGGAGAGCATACAATTAGCTACATATTTAACTTTCTATATTACTTATTTAAGGAGTCTGCCTGAAGGTTCTTTACTAATTGCCATACCTTATATCTGTGTTTGGGTGTTTCACTTTAAACTTTTTAAATCTGTAATCTGTATTAACTTACTAGGTCATACTCAGATGTTTAGATCATCATCTCAATCTTAGAACTAATTTATTCTTAAGGTAAATCCTCTAGAGCCTTCTGTATTTATTTTTACAGCTAATCTAGATATTGCTATAGTAGAACCAATATTTGTGGTTAGGACTTAACCATTAAACTACTATGCTCTTATAGAGTTCACTTAGATTTCAGCATCTACTTCACAGCATAACCCTAGTACTTTAGTAAACTCCTAAATTTTGTTAGACTTTCAATTCAGATAGCTTGTTTAAAACTATGATCAGTTTATCAGCATATTAGGTTAGCCTAATATCTTTTTTTTTGATTCATTCTGACAGCCTAATTGGTAGTATCTTTAAGACACCCAATCCAGAAGTTCTTGCCTGTTTGGTTACTAAGACTTAGGTATCTATTTTTCTAGACTAGCCTTTATAGTAACATCATTAAAGATCTAGCTATCTCTCTATTTGGATCTTCCCAAATAGACTTCTTGTTATCCAATTTTAACAGATTTATATAGCTACAAGGATTTATCCAGTGTTTGCACTGCTTAACTTGTTAGTTTGCATTTTTCTGTATAACTTCAACATTGTACAGATGCCTCATAACCTGCTAGTTATGTTGATGTGATTGTCATTACAGATATCTTAATTCAATCATTAGTAACAGTTGTCATAATACGAATATTACATATATAATTATCCAAATTTTTACTATCAATAGGATTTGTACACTCAACTTACCACTTAGAAGGTTGACAATCTGACCATTTCACACCTCTAAGATAATTATTATTCATATACTAGTATGCTTATAATACTTAAAAAATTTTATATATAAATCAACTTTAAAGTTTTAATAAAAAATATTTTACAAAATTTTAGTATAATGTTTTTTTAATTTTAGCTAATTAAAATAAAAATTTTTGTAATATATTATATTAGTAAAAAATTGACTAATTAAAATTTAAATTAATAAAAAATTTTAAAAATTACAAATCTAATATTATTATAAGTATAATTTAATTTGTTAAACAAGTTTATTTAAAAAATAAAAAACAACTATCTTAATAAAAAATAAGTTAGTATTAAATTAAAGTTTTAAAAAATTTTAATTATTATATAACTCTTTTTTTTAAAAATAATCTATTTTGTTTTCTAAATAAAATTGTTTTTTAATTAATTTTATATATAATAATAATTTTAGAATAAATTTATATATTGCATTATACAATATGCTTATACATTATGATTATCATTATATGATATTTTTTAAAAATAAAAAAAATAAGAATTTATTTAGAATTTACTAGTAAAATTCACTGTGATAATGTTTTTAATTATTACTATATGATCTATAGAAAATTTTATCCCAAATTTTAATATTTAACTTTAGGGCAGTTAAAGTAAAAATTGAAGGTTTTTTATAATGCTGAACATTTTTATTTAATATACTGAATATTTATTACTTATGCCATTTTTGTAAAACAACATAACTAATAAATTTTATCTTCAATGAGTATTAAGTTTAGTTAAAGTTAGTATAGAAAATTAATTAGATTTTTATGTACTTATATATAATATTTTGAGTTAAATATTTTTATTTAAAAACAGAAAAATTTTACATATAGATGCAAAAAAATTTTTACTAAATTTGATATAATAATAATTGACAAAATTGGTTAATTGATATGCAATAAATATGTTTATTACACTTATATAACACATATTTAACTTCATAATTTTATATTAAACTAAAAATTATTATATTTATATTTATTTATTTTTAAAAATAAAGTTACATTATAGTACAAATGTATAAAAAACATTTTCTTATTTTTTATTAATATTTGTAAAAAATTTTTTTATATTATAATATATTTATTTAAAAAAAAAAGTAGCAATAACAAAATTTATTTATAAATATAATATTATTATTTAAAAACATACCTAGCAGATAACTAGATATAGATTTTAAAATAATTACAATTACAGATTATTTTTGTTAATATCAACCTTTTATTAAGAAAAAATAAACTTAAGCTATATAAAAACTATTTTTCTGTTATTAATCCTTGTATATCTCAATATAATTGTCTAATCCAAATGTATTGATATTAACAAAATAACATACTATTTCTAGCATAGACTTTTACTCAATTTTATATTTAATTTTAATTTAATACAAATTTAATTTATCATATATATGTGCATAATTATATATAATACTTTTTGATTAATAATTAGAATTTTACTATATTTGATTTATTATAAGTTAATACAACAATTATTTTTTTAAAATTAACTCAAAGGTTTAAGACCAGATAAAATAAAATATTAGAAACTAGTTACCAATAATAATGTTACCAAATTACTTACATATGTATAATATTTAATAAAGTTTTAATGATGAAATACTATATAAAAAAATCTTAACTATACAATAGTAAATTTATTTAAATATTTTGATAAGTTCACTTTATACAAATAATATTAATATATAAATAAATGATACTAAAAGAAACAGGATTTCAACCTTTGAATCTTCAGGTGCCAAATTGATTTATTATAAGTTCAAAAGTCAGATGTCTAATTTTTTTATAATAGTACTCAAATACAAATAAAAGACCATCACTTTATTTATTGCTTTGTACATTTTTATATAAGCCAGCTGTGCTTAATGGCCACATACAAAATAATTTGATTCACCAGTCTTTTCAAAATCTTAGAGGATTTAATCTTTGTTGTGTTTAACTTTCTCCAAGGGTTTTAGCTTTACTGGGAGTTTCACCAGAGTTTCGACGTTTCGCTGGAGTTTCGCCAGTTTCGACTTTCGCCATTTACCAAAAATAGTTTCGCCTAACAACACTAGATGGAAGTAACAAAATCCATTTGGATAAGGATCAGCAGAGTTAGAACTTGGATGTAGGGTTTGTTCACATGCCTTCTTTTCTGGATAACACCCAATTTTGAAGTTCTTATGTTTGTAACAGTCAGGGATCAAGTGATCGTGCTTGACAAAAAAGTCATTCAAGTGAGATTGTGTTAGTAAGTCAGCCTCATCTAGGGTGTCGTAAAGTTTGACTCCTTGACGATAGGCAAATATAGATTCTCCAGCGTAAAAAGAAATAACATTATGCAAATTCTCTGCCTCTTCGGCGACCTTAATTCTTGCATAAATTAATCTTGGAACTTTACAGATACCATTTTTAATCTTCCACCCGCAAAAAATTGGGTCTTTGTCGACAAAGGTCTTTCCTTGAAGGAAAAATTTGTGTCCAATTAGTTGAAAGATTTCTTTTTCTTTAAGCACAGAATTTATTGCACTGTCATCACCGGAGTACATTTGAGAGATATCAGGAGGAATGTAATATTTTTAAATTTGTGTAAGCAATGTTAACATAGGCGTTATAATCATATGTTTCAGCGCCTCCAGTAACCCGTTGTGTTGACAGACACCCGTGTTGAGTCAATGTTGTGTTTTTGAGGTAAACGTAGTACTTGCGAAGAAATTCAGGAGCATTCACATGCCTATGAAGCAAATCTTCGAAATGCACGGTCTCATGGGTTTGGGATTGGACATACATAGCGTAATCATTACTCGTAGTTAGGCGGTTATCATCCCATTCCTCTTTGACAAATTGCTCCATAATTTAGGTGGGTGTCGAGCCAAAATGAAGATCTTTCCCCCTTTATATTTACTATCAATTTCTTTTCTGCTATTAATAAAATTGGAAACCTGAGCGACAATGTATTGAACCAAAGCTCCGACCAAAAATACAGTTATTTTATGCAAGGAAGCCAACATAGCGGCACACTTGGCGTTAACCATCATTTTTTCAAATTTGGTCATCAATTGGCTTTTTGTGAACAACTCAGCAAAATTATCTTTTCACCAAAGCTCACTACGTTCCGTTATGTTTAATAGGGTTGATAAGGGCTTCGCGAGTTGTTTATCAATATTTTTGCTAGCCCGCTCGATATATAGATCCAGATCAAAAGGGATGGGTCTTTCATGCCGATCGCGCTAATAAAAGATTCAAACAGATTAGAACCAAGAATTTTGGTGTTCGGTTGTTTCATGGCTTCTGAGTTTCGGGTTGGGCTTGAAAACTTCACTCTCTCCTGTACAGATCACCAGTAAGTAGCTGAGTCATCAGCTTGTTGGTGTGGAAAAACACTAGCAAAGGGCTTGGTGTCGTCAAATTGCTTTGTCCATCCAATCTTGGGAACAAATTTTTCGCGTTCATGAGCAGCGCGTAGGTCTATTAAGATATTGTCGATTAAATATTGCTCATTCACAATTGGCAAAGCAATGGGGGCTGGAGTTGATGGAATGTAAGGATAGGAACAGCTTAAATTTAAGCCAGCTTGAGCCGGCTTTTAAGCCAAGCTATTCAAGTCCTTGAGCCGGCTTAGAGCCGAATCAAACTACCTAGTATAGTTATTGTGACCTACGTCGTTTAGTGATTGTACCCGGTTAACCTTTTTACCTGAAAGGATATAATCTTTAATAAAATCTAATAACTGGGTTTATACCTTAATACCTTAATAAAATAAGAGGGTAACAGTTATATACAGATATACCCTCTACTAACCATGACCGATATCGGTCAATTATAGGTTTGTGACCGACTGGTTAAAATCCTGACCGATACTATTTTAGCAATGTTTAATTGATTCATTACAATGTTTGCTATTATATTACACAATAATAAGCGATTTGAAAAATAATAAGTTTAAATTATTTTTTTCTTGGTATTAATCATATGTAGATATGAGCTCAATGCTATAATTGGTTATAATTATAATGAATTATGGCATTATTTGTTGTAATTCATTATAATAATAACAACTAATTACAGTATTTGCTAATATTCATAAATAAAATAATTAATTTAAACTAAGAAAATACATATTAATTAATAAATTTAATGATAGCATTCATATCAATGATCATGATTCTCATGATTTAGAAGTGTAACAAAAGATGTTTAAGAATAAGTTAGTAATCTTGAAGATCATATATGAATAACTTTATTTTGTATCATGGTATCCTGTTTTGTCTTAAAGTTTCATTTTATAATTTATCAATAACACAGTTATAGTCATAACTATTATACTAGACTTCTCCAATGTAACTATCAAAAAAACTTAGATATATAGAGGAACATATAACCAATTAGGCTGCCAGACTTATTAGATAAAAAGAATACAGAATTATAATATACCAAACTATCTGAATTAGTAGTCTGGTTAAAGATTACTGGTTCCAAGTTGCAGTTAGTAGAAAATAATAAAGAAAATGCCAAAAAGATAGATACTAGGGTTCTAGTAAACTTTATAAGAATAGAAATAGTGTAATATAGTGGTTAAACAGGTAATTCATATAACTGCAAGTATTAGGCAACTATAGCATATTGTATAAAATTAGATCAGTATATGTAAAACATAAAAGCTTTAGTAAGTTTTTTATTAAAAACAAAATAGTTCTAAGAATACTAATAAGCATTAAGAACTTTGATAGATGTAGCTCTAATGATGTTTTTGTAATATAAGATGAATTGTATATGTAGAGAGTTTAAATAAACAAGACCTCTAGTTGGTTTGCAAATATAGTATCTAATATAGAAATTATATAGCAATATATAAGTAAACTACTTAAATTAGATACCAAAAATATATATATAGCTAGTTGTAGCCTCTAATGTAAAGAAGTTTCTGAAGACAACCTGTGTTGTATAAACTTGAATAAAAATGTCATATCTTAAAGATAAAAACTTTAACATTAAAAAAAAAAAATAAACTAGCTATTAAAATTAATATATATATAAGTTATATAAAAAAAAATATATATAGAAGATAACTACCAGCAATGGATAAGAATAAATAACAAAATCAATATAATCTTAAATGCATTAATAAAAAAAGATAGCAATAGATTAAATAATAGAAACAATAAAAATAAAAAAACTAGTAATTGAAGAACAAAGACTTAAGAGACTAAAAATAATAAAAGAGCTAGAAATAGAGATTATTAGATAACAAAACTTAAAAGAAAACATTAGTTAAGAAATAATAAAAGTTTTAAAAAGGAATATAATAAGAAACAAGAACAAGTATATAATATATATAAATAACAACAAATATAAAGACTAAATAAGATACAATAATTAAAAATATTATAAACATAGGATGGGTTCAAATAAATAAAACATAAAAATAATCCAAAGAAGTTAGTATTAGGTCTAGAAAAATATCAAATATTAACAATAACAAAGTTAGTAATATAGATAGTAATCTTAATAATACTAAAGAAAAAATAAATAAAAATATATATAAATAGTAATGTTATAATAAGAAACATTAAAAGAAGTTTAGAACAAATAGACAGAAATAAGATTCTTAAGAAGAAGAATATAATATAATTAATAAAAATTAGAAATCTTATTATAACAAAAAACATTCAAATAGAGTTTTTTAAGATTAAAAACTACAATAAAGATTGATGAAATGATAAAACTAATAACTTGGTAAAAAAAAAACAACAAGTAAAAAGATAATATAAACTGAAAAAATTAATTATAATAAGATAAAGTACTGTCTAGAATAAAAAAACAAATATACTAATATATTAGCAAAATTGTTATATAAGTTAATAATAAATATAAAATTAGAAGCAAAATAAAAAAAAACAAAAACAATTAGAAACTTAAAACTAGAAATAGAAGTTATGATTTATAATTAGATATACTTTTAAAAAAAACTAAAGATAACTAAGAAGTATACTGCATAACAAAAAGAAGTAATACCAAAAGAAATATACTTATAAAATACATAATAAATAAACTTTCAACCTTAAAAGAACTTAACAGAAAAAGACCAGATATATATATAACAACAGAATATTAAGTATATCAAGATAAAATAAAAAAAATATAAACATATTTGGCAATATATAAGAAATAAAAAAATCTTTAGAAAAGTATCTAAAAAATAATAGTTTAAAAAAGACTAAAAGAAGAAAAAAAAATTTGAGTTCTTTTATATATATTATATACAATGCTTTTTGAAAAAACAGAAGTAAAAAAAGTAAAAATAAGAAAAGCACTAATTAAAGACCTTATTTTAAAAAAAATACAGAACAGATTAAGACAGCTCTTAAGTATAAAATTAAGATAACAGTTTATAAACATAATAGCAAATATAGCCTAATATACATTCTACAAATAGATGTAAAGAATTTAATATGAAAAAATTAATAAATAAAAAAAAATAGAAATATAAGTAGAATAAAAAGAAAAAAAAAGAAAACACTAAGTAAAAAAAATTCAAATTAGTAAAAAATAGAAGAAAGAAAAGTGAATATAAGAAAAAAAGAAAATTAATTAAAAAAGAAGTACAAACAACATTTTTAGAGCTTATTATAAAAGAGAAAAGATCTTTTTATTATAAACTTTAGTAGTTAGATGAGTAGGTTATTTATGCTTAAAATAATATAACAGATTGCACTTAAATACTATTAGAATACTTAAGTGATACTAGACTTAGTTATTAAGAATATTTATATAATTACAAATATAATTTTAAAATTTTAATAAAGTACTAATATGACTGCTTAAAGAAGAAAAAAAAATATATATATTATATTTTATATAAATGATCTAAGCTTTTAATATCAAGTAAAACTTAATAGAAATTAAAATTGATTTTAATAATTTGAGATCATTTTGTAAATTTTATAATATTTTAGAAATTTATTTAATTAAATTTGGATATTTTTAACTTGTACCAGTGGTTATAGATAACTATTATGCTATATCTCAAAAACTGCACTATGAAACAATAGTTGGATATACTAAGTAAAAATGTTCAACACTTTTAAAAACCTTATAAGAACTAAGATCAAGATCTAATATCCAATCAATATTATGTTATTTAAAAAAATATTTTATATAAAACCTTCCATTTATCTTAAAGCTGCATCCTAATCTTAAGTTTTAATAAGGATGGTTATTTTTAACTAATAGTGCAGGTTATAATAATTCTTAAGTTTTAATAAATTCTAAAATATTATAAATTTATATAATAAACTTAAATTTTTTTTTTTTTTTTTTTTTTTTTTTTTTTGTTTTAAGGCCGATGTTAATGGCGGCTAATGCCTTTATTGTGTTTT